GCTGGGGCTACAGGGAAACCCTATCTCAAAAAGACAAAAAAATAAAAATAAAAATAAAATAAATAAATAAAAATAATGGAGGATGATGAGAAGAAACCTAAAAAAAAAAAACAAGCAAACAAGGCCAGCAAAATGACTCAGTAGGTAAAATGGTTAAGTGCTTACTTCCAAACCTAATGACCTTTTAATCCCTAGAATCCACATGGTAAGAGAACCAGCTCTTGCAAGCTGCCTTTTCACCTTGGTATGAGTAATGTGGTACATGTGCACGTGCATGTATACACACACACACAAAAAAAAAAAAATAGACTGAGGTAGGACTTACACTCAACTTCATTTATTTAATGTAACTATTGATAAACACCACTATAGACCACTGTCTTAAGAAATGAAACCTTATAACACTATCAGGAAATACTAAAAAAATACTCTATTGCAAAAGGGAGGCCCAGTGGTACAGTGCTTGCCTAACATGCATGAGGTCCTATATTTGCTCCTCAGCTCTAAAAAGGGATTTAGAGAGTCACAATATTATAGGTAGTAGAGGTTTTCATTGTTCTAAGTGCCCTCCCTGCATTGCAAACAGAAAAAAATTGCTTGAACCACAGAAGTGAATCTCTAAATTATAACAGTTTTGGAGTTTTTTAATTTATTATTTTTTATGTGTATGAGTGTATTTATTGCATATGTATATGTGCATTGTATGTCATGCAATGCCCAGAGTCAGAAGAGGGTGTTGGATTCCTCTGTAACTGGAGTTACTGATGATTGTAAGCCACCATATGGATGCTGGGAATCAAACCTGGGTCCTCTGCAAGAACATCCAATGCTCTTAACCACTAAGCCATCTTTCTAGCCCCTATGCTGGGATTTTTTTTTAAGATTTATTTTTCTTTGTGTATATAGATGTGTGTCTATGTGCATATGTGTGTCTGTGCACATTAGTGCAGGTATCTATGAAGGTCAGAAGAGGGCATCAGATCTTCTAGAACTGGAATTACTAGTGGTTATAGGCAGCATAATGTGGGTGCTGGGAACCTAATTTGGGTTCCTAATTCAGTACCCTGAAATCCTGAATCAACTCTCCAGCCTCCATAGTAGTGTTTAATTGGATAAATTTAAAGCATGACACTGTGCAAAATATACAAAACAGCCACATGGGCAAGCAGATCATCTAAATATATCTGCAGCAAACATTTTTTTTTTAATTTTATGTGTAAGAGTATATTACCTACATGTATGTAAGTGCACCCGTGTCATGGAATGCCTGCAGAAGACAGAAAAGGCCATTGGATCCCCTGGAACTGTAGTTATGGACAGTTGCTAGCTGCCATGTGGGTGCTGGGATTTGAACCTGGGTCTTCTGCAAAAACAGGAAGTGTTCTTAACCACTGAGCCATCTCTCCAGCCTGACAAACTTTTTTTTTTTTAAAGCCAGGGCAGTCCCCAGAGCCACCATGTGATTTGGCTGGATCTGTCCCCCTTTCTGTTCTTTTTTGCTCTCTTCTGACTTTTTCTGTTGGATGCTGGCCAAAGTCTAAGTATGCTTTCCCTGGTACTTTGAGCTTCCTTACTCTCTTGAAAGCTTCCCCCCTCCCCCCAACCATGTGGCTGCTGTGGTGGTCACGTGGTTGACCTTCAGGCTGGCTTATCGCAAAACGCCATGGCCCTTTTCCCTTTCTATTCTCCTTCTACCAACAGCTTTGAGAGTTAAAGCATTCATGCCCTGGGGTTTCTCTTTTAAACTCTAATAAACCGTCCTCAAGCTTTAAAAAAAAAAAAAAAATTGAGGCATTGTGGCTGGTCCCTGCAATCCTAGCATGTAGGAGGCTGAAGCTGGAGACCAGCCTAGGCTTTAATGAAAGACCCTGTATCCCAGGCATGGTGGCACACATCTTTAATCCCAGCAGCACTTGGGAGGCAAAGGCAGGTGGATCTCTGTGAGTTCAAGGTCAGACTGGTCCACATAGTGAGTTCTAGGCCAGCTACAGGGAGATCATGTTTCAAAAAGACCAAAAAAAAAAAAAAAGGAAGAAGAAGAAAGACCCTATATCAAAAATCCAGAGACAAGAAGTTCAGTGAATAAAGGAGCTTGCTGCCAAGCCTGATGACCTTAGTTTAATTCCACATGGTGGAAGGAGAGAATCAACTCCTAAAAGTTGTCCTCTGACCTCCACACAAGTGTCCTGGCACATCTGCATGTGTGTGTACACAAACACACAAAAATAAATAAATAAATAAATGTAATTTTTAAAAAGATTTTTATTTTAATTTTTAATCTATTTTTATTTTACATGCATGAATGATTGTATGTATGTATGTAAGTGTACCATGTGAGAGCTTGGTGCCTATGGAGGCCAGAAGAGGGTATCAGATCCCCTGGAACTGGAATTAAGGACAGGTATTAGCTACCAAGTAGGTGTTGGGAACTGAACCTGGGTCCTCTGGAAAAGCAGCGAGGGCTCTTAACTACTGAGCCATTTCTCTAGCTCCACAAAATGTAATTTTTAAAAAAAACATTTTATGCTGGGCATGGTGGCACATACCTTTAGTCCCAGCACTTGGGAGGCAGAGGCAGGCAGATCTCTGTGAGTTTGAGGTCAACCTGGTCTATACAGTGAGTTCCAGGCCAGCTGGGGCTACAGGGAAACCCTGTCTCAAAAAGACCAAAAAAAAAAAAAAAAAAAAAAAAAAAAAAAATCAAAAACAAAAACAAACTTCATTCACTATAAAACATCAGAACCTCCCCAATCCATTTCCTGAAAGAATATTTCTCCTTCTTCTGTGCCATAATGCCATGTCTCACACACAACTGTGAATTTCACAAATTCCCCTGCCATAAATTAGAAAACCCCACCTACTCCATGGGGAAAGTACCACATCCAACCCTAAAGGCTTGCCCATGAGAACATCAAGAGGAAAGACAGCAGAGTGATTCCATTTTGATCTATCTGCATTTTCCATCATGCTCTGATTTAGTAATGCACTCCATATTTTATACTTTTTATTTTCTCAAAATATATTTTCTTCTTTTCTTTCATGAGATGGGTAAGGTAATTATCTCCAACTCATATCTTGTATTTTACAAAAAGAAACTGACTGCCAGGCATGGTGGTGCACACCTTTGATCCCAGCAGAGGCAGGCGGATCTCTGTGAGTTCAAGGCCAGCCTGGTCTACATAGTGAGTTTCAGGCCAGCTGGAGCTACAGGGAGACCCTGTCTCAAAAGAAAAGAAAAAAAAAAAACTGACCAAAGGTAACATTCAGTTGGACTGTTCAGAGCCACAGGGCTTTTATTAACAACCCAGGCCCCTCTTCACATGTGACCTCATTGCCCCAAGAACACTGAGCCTGGAATACATTCACAGAGGCCTTGGGCAGCATAAAGACAAGGATCCTTGGTCACAGTCATGGCTATTTGTCAATCAAATACCAGAAACCTGGCCTACACTAAGTTTGTTACATGTTATCTCATGTGGTTCTCAACAAACCTTAAGGACTTCGGTACTATGACTTTCTGGGTTCGACCAAGGGAAAAGTCAAAGGCTCCCAAACCTGCTTGCAGGTACATAGCCAGGACTAGGACACATAAAGTCAATCTCAGGTTCAAGTTGATCAGACTCCAAAATCTATGTGCAGAACTTGCTCAACTATGATGCAGCCCCTGAATGGGGCATGCAGAGCCAGTCCTGCAATGCCTACAGATGGGACACCAAGATCCTCTCTTACTTGACAGCCCCAACATCCTCAGCATAGCGCTGCATCTCTTCCCGGGCCCTCTCCTCTCGCAGCTCTCGCTGCAGCTCCTCGATCTTTTTGCGTTCAGCCTCATGTTTCTGCTCTGCCTTCCACACTTTCTCCACATTTCGAAGGGTCTGTGGGTGCCAGCTCTTCTTCAGGTTCTGTGATGAACAAGGAGAAAATGATCAGCAAGTGGTAGTGATGTGCTCTAGTTTCATTTCTGTGCTGTGATAAAATATCCCAACAAAAACAACTTGAGGGGCTGGAGAGCTGGCTCAGCAGTTAAGACCAAGTACTGCTCTTCCAAAGGACCAGAGTTCAATTCTCAGCACTCACAGCTGGTGGTTCACAACCACCTATAACTTCAGATGATCCAACATCTCTGGCCCCCTGGGGCACCTGCACTCATACACACACACACACTTTAAAATTTTTTTAAAATCTCGCCAGGTGTGGGGGTACACGCCTTTAGTCCCAGCACTCAGGAGGCAGAGGCAGGCGGATCTCTGTGAGTTCAAGCCCAGCCTGGTCTACATAGTAAGTTCCAGAACAGCTGGGGCTACAGGGAGACCCCATCTCAAAAAGACCAAAAA